CCTCCCTCTCCCCCCTGTTATATGTAATTGTCCAGCACCACCCCGCCATCCAGGGGAAGTGCCTTCTCTGACCTCAGTGTTACCAAACTGCCCTCCAAAGGCTAGTGGGGCCGATGGGAGGCCCTGCCTAGGGAGAAGGCCCGGCTCTGCTGTCCCCAGAAACCATGTGGAGGGGCTACAGGCAGATGGCCCCCAGCAGGAGAGACAGTCCCCAGGGCACGGGCCAGGACGCCCCACCCAGGGGGCAGGCACTCACTGTCCTCTATCTTGTCGCTGAAGGGGTCAGTCCCCAGCACGGGCGGGGTGACCTTGAGGGGTTCTGGGAGCTTCACGAGGGCAGAGCCGCCCCAGAAAGGGTTGAGGAAGGGCGGGGGCGGCTCGGTGTCCGTGTCCACTTCCTGCATTCGCATGTAGGCCTCCAGCAGCAGCAGGTCGTTGGTCTTCTTCTCGATGAGGGCTGCGAGAGAGCAGGGGCGTGGGGTGGGGTGGCTGCGGGGACCTGCCCGCGAGAGCCCCCCAGGACCCGCTTTCTCTGGGTCACACCCTGCGGTCCCCCCTTGAGAAGCAAAAACAGAACCTCTGACTCATGAAGCAAGATGGACACACAGCCGTACCTGGACACCTGGGGTGCAGATCTCGACAGGAGGGACACTAGGAAAAGAACATCCTGGAGGCTCCTCAGGGGGCCATAGTGAAAGGAGGGTTGAGACGTGGGTTAGACTGAGAATTGGGAACCGGGAAGGGGGAAGAGCCCAGCCTTAAACTCTCTTCCCCAATCTGCACTCTGTGCTGCTCGCCGGGCCCTTGCTCATGCAGTTCCTTCTGCCTGAGATGCTGTTCCCTACAGCCCTCCCTGAGCAACGGCCTGGCATTTGAAGAGTTCTGGGGAGCAGTCCCTCCTTCCGTGTGCATGGAGGAACCAGCCAGGGGAGGGTGGATTCCAGGGGCCTCGCCGTCGGGGGGAAGTGCCTTCTCTGATCTCAGTAACTCCTGGATTTGGATCATTTAAAAAACAACAACAAAATGCACCCACCCAAAACTGATTCTATCTAAAAATCAGACCAGAAATACTTGCAGCTGAACTGTGCTACCGGCTCTCAGGAACCTCATAGCCTTGGATAGAAAAAGCTCTCTCTACTCACAGACAAACGGGGAATGTCAAATCACAGCACTCCCAGGAGCAGGGGTGACAGGGTAGCTTCACATGGGGCAGTGCAGGGAGGTCTCACAGGAGAAAAGGACGCATAATGAGGTCTGAGAATGAGGAGGAACTGGCACATGGACCAGTGTTCCAGAAACAGCCTGGGCAAAGGCCCTGAGGCAGGAACTGAGATGTGGTGGTGAGGTGGCCAGCATCTTGGAACTTGGATCTCAAGGATCCCACCACCACGACCTGGTCAGAGTGGCCCACCCTGGACGGTTGGTACATGTGGTTGATCATGTGGTTTCTAACAGATGTTTCTCTCTGTGCTGCTTTCACCTTGAACCCTTTCACTGAGATCAACTGTAGCCATAAGTACTACTATGTGCTATGACTGTAAATCCTTCTAACCCACCACTAACCAGATTCTATGAAGAATCTCAGGGTCAACTCTAGGAGCAATGAAGCCATTCACTCCAAGTGGACTCCATCGGGATAGGTGCCCTCCCTCTGCACCCTGAGCTCAGAGCCTGCCTAGAAATGCAGGCAACAGTCACCAGGCATTTACTACACTAGGCACCGTTCTGAGCACTTTATTTCCTCCTTTTCAATTGGTGTGCCTTTTATTTCTTTTTCTTGCCTTATTGCATCGTCTAGGATCTCATTCTGACATTGAGTAAGAATTTGGGATTGTGGCTCAGCAGTAGAGCGCTCGCCTAGCATGGGTGGGACCTGGGTTTGATTCTCAGCACCACATAAAAATAAAGGCATTGGGTTGCGTCCATCTACAAAAAATAAATTTAAAAAAATTTTAAAAAGAATAGACAGCAAAAGCCCTTGCTTTGCTCCTGATCTTAGAAGAAAGATATTCAGCTTTTTATCATTAAGTATGAGGTTAGCTGTGGGTTTTTTGGTTTGTTTGTTTGTTTGTTTGTGGATGCCTTTATCAAGTTAAGAAAGCTCCCTGTAGCTCTAACTGGTTGGGAGTGTTTTTCATGAAGGGATTCTGAATTTTAGTACATGCTTTTTTGCATCTATTGCAATGACTCTGAAGTTCTTTTCCTCAAAGAACTCTTCGTTTATTTATTCCTCCCAATAGCTTTATGAAGTAACTCTAGGGTTTAACCCTGCATTTTTTTTCAATATTTAAGAACAGAAAGCACAGAGATGTTCAAAAACTTGCCTAGAAGAATACAGGTAACAATAAATGTTGGTGAGGATGTGGGGGAAAGGCACACTCATACATTGCTGGTGGGACTGCAAATTGGCGCAACCACTCTGGAAAGCAGTCTGAAGATTCCTCAGAAAACTTGGAATGGAACCACCATTTGACCCAGTTATCCCACTCCTCAGCATATACCCAAAGGACTTAAAATCAGCATGCTATAGTGATGCGGCCACGTCAATATTTACAGCAGCACAATTAACAATAGCTAAGCTATGGAGCCAACCTAGGTGCCCTTCAACAGATGAATGGATTAAAAAAATGTGGCATACATCCACAATGGAATATTACTCAGCCATAAAGAAGAATGAAATTATAGCATTTGCGGATAAATGGACAAAACTGGAGACAATCATGCTAAGTGAAATAAACCAATCCCAAAAGACCAAAGGTCGAATGTTCTCTCCGATATGCTGATGCTAATCCACAATAAGGAGGTGGGGAGAATAAAAGTTCACTGGATCAGACAAAGGGGAATGAAGGGAAGGGAGTGGGGATGGGAATAGGAAAGACAGAGGGATGAATCGGACGTGACTTTCCCATGCTCCTAGAGGAACACACAACCAGGGAGACTCCACACGTGTACAGCCACAGAATGGGAAGTTATAACATGTATGTATGCTATGTCCAAAGACACTCCACTGTCCTGTCCGACTAGGAAGACCATATTAAAAAAAAAAAAGAAAAAAGAAAAAGGAAAAGAGCCCTAACAAACAAACAAACAAAACAAAAACAAAACAACAAATTGAAACCACCTTGTCGGGGACCACACAGCTAGTCGGGGCGTAACCGGGATTTGAACCCACGCAGCCTGGCTCTGGTGCCTGGGCTTCACCCCCAGGCTCACCACCTCTGCAGGAATGAGTTCTCAAGCCTGGTTACGGAAAGCACTGGAAAAGCTGGCTAAGCGCTGGACGGCCCCAGGGCGACTCACAGAAATACTGGGACAGGTTGGTGTCGGTGACTTTCCCGGTCTCCCCCAACTGCACCAGGATCTTGGAGGCGTCGCAGTTGATCTTCTTGAACAGATTCCCCACCGAGGTCTTGAGATGCTCCAGGGTTTTTCTGAGCTGGCGGTTTTTGTCCTCGTACCTGTTGGCCTCCTCCGTGGTCTTCCTCAGCTTCTCCTGGGGGCGGACACCAGTTCCCTGGGGTCAGCCCGCTGGATGGGACTCTCCAGGGGAGGGGGCTGGGGACCCTTGGGGGTCTGGATCTCCAGCTACTGACTTCACCCCTCAGAGGGGGGCAGGACCAGTTAAATGGCCCCAGTCGTGCACTTAGAAGAGAGGCACCACGCTGTGCGGGGCCCACCGCCTCATTCCCCTTAAGGTGAGTCCTCACCTGGGCTTTCTGAAAAGGAAGGAGCGCGGCGCAGGACACAGCTCTGTGTGTCACCTGATGGCATGGAGTCAGGCCTCACCAGCAGTGTCCACAGGTGTTCTCTGTTTTCCTTTTCTGTCCCTCCCATCCTAGGAGCTGCAGGTGCTGGCTGCCATCCCATAAACAGTTCTCACCATCCATGGTCTAGAACACCTGCACCAGCCCAGTGGTTTCCAAAGCGGGGTCCCCAGACGGGCAGGGTCAGGTCACCAGGGATCATGGGCATGGTGCAAGCTCTGGGGCCCACCCAGACATGCAGGATGGGGCTGAGGCAGGCATCTGAGCCTCCAGGTGACACTGATACACAGAGAAGTTTGAGACTCTCTGGGAGCCCACTGTATCTCAGCCTGGGTGACACACTGGGGTCAATAGGAGCTTTACAATATTTGCAACCTGCGCTCCACCCTCTGGGGGTCAGATCTCACTGGCTCCAGTTGTGACCAGTTGTGACCGGGGCAGCAGGGAACTTTGAGGACTCCAGGGATTCTGACCTGCTGCTGGAAATGAGAATGGCTGCATCCCATCCTGCCTCCCGCTCCCTGAGTTCTTGGACTGCAAAGCAGGCCTGGGTCCTAGGAGAACCACGGAGGGCCACACGGGGCTCGGGAGGTCACAGGCACAAGTCATGGTTTTACAAATCTCCCCAGCCATGAGCGGCAGGTAGCCCCATTTTACAGATGAGAAACCTGAGGCTCAGAGAGGTTAGGTCACTGTTCCAAGGTCGCACAGCTAGGAAGTAACTGTTCTGAGAGCCTTCCCAGGATCCTAGTGAGGGAGTAGGCTCACCCCTTCTCCCAGAGGGGCAGAAACTGATGAAAGGAGGGTTAGGAAAACCTGGGAACCTACTGCTATTAAGATAGATTCTCCGGCTTAGATATTTGCACTGGAAAAGGAGTCCCCAAGTCAAGCTAAAACCTAAGGAACAAAGAGCTAATGCAGGGACCACGGGCAGAGAGGGGCTGGCAGCCTCTCCACTGCCTACCCCCACCCCGGCAATGCCTGTCTCCACCCCAAAGAAGAGTCTGGACTTTGGGTGGCCCCAAGCGAGGATGTGGGACCGCAGGCAAGTATTCTTCGTTGGGGTGGGAGTCCTCCTAAGACCTGGACCCTGCCTGGGGGTCTGCAGTGCCCCTTCGCCTTCCCCGAGCCACGGCTCTGAGCCCAAGCACCTCGGTGGCAGCACGTGCTCTGCTGCCCTCCAGTGGTCAGTCAGAGGATAGCACCTTCATCCATGTGGACCCCGTGCCCCGGGGACCCTGACACAAGCCACAAAGGGGGAATGGGAGGTGCCCCAGGAGAACGGTTCCTGGGCCAGGAACTCTGGATTAGAGGAGGACGTTGGTCAGACCTCCTGAGAAGTTCAAGGTTTTGATCAGTATTTGCAATCCATTCTCCCCTTATGCCTTAATGACAAGACCTGACTGACCGTGGGGTGGCAATGAGGGCCCCTAAGTTATATTCCAAACCTGTTTTGCAACATGGATGGTCAATGAGATGAAAATACAGAAATCATTTAGCTGAATCTTCTGGAAAATAACTAAAGCTGGTTGACAGATAGCAAGACCCCCTCCCTTTATGTTTGTTTACTCCTCAGTTTCTCCCTGCCTGGAATGTATATGTGATGGCTGGACCTATGGAAGCTATGATGCAACCACAAGGAGCTGCTGGGATTACAGGTATGCTCCAATCAGGAGTTAAATGACCTGGCACATTTGGAATGTAAGCCACGCATTCACTCAGGATGGCCAACTAGAAAGCTAGAAGGAGCCTGGGCCATGGATGACATCATGATGGAACCCTACCAGCCCTGAAGTGCCAATCTTCTGATGTATTTAACCAGGAAACTTCTGTCTTGCTTAGGCCACTGTTATCTTGGGTCCTTTTATTAGCTGCCAAGTACAACTTAAATGTCATAACACATCCCAGCTCCTCGAGGTTGGTCAAGTGATTTTACCTCTGTGAACCTCAGTTTCCTCATCTGTAAGTTGGAGAGATCAACAGCGTCCACTTCCAAGCACTGAGTCCAGTGCCTGGCACATAGTACCTGCTCAGGAAACGTGTCTGGATGTCACCCAGGCCAGCCTCAGGTCATGGGGCTAACAGCTTCCTGCTCCAGGTACCAGCTGACAGGCTGCCTGACCCACAGACAACAGAGACCCCTCCATCCCATGCTCTGCACCCGGCTCACCTCGAGCTCCTTCAGGACAGAGCCGCTGTCGTCGTGGGAAGACTGCTGCTGGGATCGCAGGTGGGTGATCTCATCCTGCCCAGGGAGAAAATCCACTGTGATGAAACGGGGTGCTCCCCTCCCCTACCACACCTCAAAAGAAGCTGTGCCTCCAGAGGCCTAAGAGGTGTTTTTGTTTGTTTGTTTGTTTTATACCAGGGATTGAACCCAGGGCACTTGACCACTGAGCCACCTCCTCAGCCCTTGTTATTTTTTGAGACAGGATCTTGCTGAGTTGCTGAGGCTGGCCTTGAACTTGTGATCCTCCTGCCTCAGCCTCCCATCCGAGCTGCTGGGATTACAGGCGTGCTCCACCACACCTGGTTCCAATCGGGAGTTAAATGACCTGTTCAAGAGTCTTAGAACCTCAGAGCCGCTCCTAGGCTTCGGAGGTTCTGAGGTTTCTTAATGAAGAGCAGAATGATGGCATGGGAGGGTGTGAGGCGTCCATTCTGGAGAGTCCCTAGGGGGCCGTCACCAGCATCTTCTGTGAATAGTGGGGACCTTCTACCTGCAGTAATATGGACTGTGGTCATCACATGTGGGTATTAGAATGTGGCTAGTGCCACTGAGGAACTGGTTTTTCATTTTTATTTAATTGCAATGAATTTAAACTTAAATAGCTACATGTGGCTAGTGGCTACTGCATTGGTCTGGGCAGCTCCGGAGCAGGAGTTCTCAGACTCTAGCAAGAATCCCCTGGAGGCTTGTGAAAACGCAGATCACAGGTCCCCAGAGTTTCTGAATCCAAGAATGTGCCTTTCTAACAAGGTCCCAGCTTCAGAGACCATGGGGAAGCCGGGTCTTCAAGTGGTGTATGCCTGTAATCCTGGCAACTTTGGAGGCTGAGGCAGGAGGATGACAAGTTGGAGGCCAGCCTGGGCAGTCTAGCAAGATCCTGTTTCAGAATAAAAAGGGCTGGGGATGTGATTCGGTGGTAGAGTGCCCAGGTTCAATCCCAGTACAAAAAAAAAAAAAAACCTGGAGTCCTCACATCTTTTGCTATGGCTTGTCCTTGTCCTTGTCCCACTGGGTCTAGAGAGATACTCCCTCCTGCAGAGTGGAAACTCAGGCCTAACCTGCCCACTCTCCCTTCACCGCGCTCGGCCCGCAGAGCACATGCAGTTCCGCACTTGACCACCAGGGGGCAGCGGCGATGCGCCGAGCCCGAGAGGCCTGGCGGGCTTGGGCGGGCCAGTAGCGAGCCTGGTGCAGAAGGACGGGGACGGGGGAACTGGGCTTCGCGGGGGGGATAAGGGCCAGAGTGGTCAGATCTGATTTTCCAAGAGAAACAGGAAATGCGATTTGCATGTGGAATATACTGATTTTTCAAATGTTGGAAACTAATAAATTAGCAAATTAGCAAGTGGAGGAGCAAAAAAGAAGGCAGGCTGCATTTGGCCAATCTGCAGCCTGGCACCCACCCTGCATCGGGGGAATAAGGGCCAGAAATATCGTAAATAGTAAATATTTTATGCTTTGCATCTCTCTGGATAATAAAGTATGCCATGGATTATAAGCGTCCCTACTGGAGGTAGAGGGGACCTGAACCTATTAAATGTACATCTTAAGTGAGACACAAATGCCAATTTCAGAGAAGTTAGATGGTAGAGGGAGTGCGGGGGACACACAGCGATGCTTGCTAGGCTGGTGTGACCTCGCGGCCCTTTTCACTGTAGAGAATGTCTGGAACATCCCAGGGAGGCTGCCCTAGGGAAGGCTGCTGTGGGAACAGGTGGTCCCAGACCCAGGCAAACAAGAGATGTCCCGACCTGGATCTCCTGGGTCTTCTTGTTCATCATCTCCATGTCGTTGTTGAGCTCCATGATGTAAGTAAACCGGGCAAAGTTCTTGTCCTCCTTGGCCAGGAATTCCTCAATGAGCTGGCTCAGGTTCCCATCCTCCACCAGCTTCATCAGCCGGAGGTGGGCCACCTGGTAGCTCTCAAAACTCTCTCCCTTGCTATTCTTCCTGTGCCTTTTTGTCTTGAGAGCTAGAGAAGAAACAGGGACAGTGAGGAGCCCTTCTGCTCCGGTTCAGGCAGATAGCATGTGCTCCACAGCATGGTGGCCCTGTCCCGGAAGGGCAGGCGCTGGGTTTTTCCAAAAGATGGGTCAGAAGCTCCACTATTTCCACTTCACCAAGACCTAATTCAGTATTCACTAAGTGCCAGGCACTGGGCGAGGCTCTGCTGACACAAAACCCTGGCCCCAGGGAGCTTTTCAAGGAGGAGTCAGACAAAGAGAGGAAAGAAAACAAGATATACAAGTAAACAGAAGAAGAAATCCACTTATTATCATTGTGGCTGCAAGAAGGCACGTCAGGCACAGAGATGGGGGTCCTGCGTTAGGTGGGTAGCCAGGAAGGCCTCTCTGTAGAGGTGACGGTTGAGAAGAATGAAGGTCAAGGCAGTGGCCAAGTTAGTCTGGGGACAGAAGATTCTTAGGAGGGCTCAGAACTTGGTGAGTTCAAGGAATGAGAACCTTCAAGGAAGTTCTTCTCTGAGTCTCACTCTCACTAGCCTAGAATCACAGAATCCCTGAACCTAGACTTATCTCTCTGATTTGGCCTCCACATGGCCATCAGAAGGTTCTTTCTAGATCTTTCTGGGCACATGACATGATGTGGCTCACATGATGTAGCTCCTCATGGTCCTTGGGGTCAAGCTGAAGTTTCTCAGCATCATTTATGATCTGGTCTCCTCCAGGGCCTCCTGTGACGGGTTCCCTCGTGTCACCTCCTCCAACAGGCCCACCCTGACCACCCTAGATAAAGCAGTCCTGGGTCACTGTCTGTCAATTACCCTCTTTTATTTTCTTTGTGCGCTTGGGTTTCTGAGAACCAAAGAATCAACTTTAAAAAGAAGTTTAAGAATCAGCTTAACTTCTGTGTTTTCTTTTTATTTTTTTTTTCAAATTGAGGGGTACCAGGGATTGAGCTCAGGGGCACTTGACCACAGAGCTACATCCCCAGCCCATTTTTGTATTTATTTAGAGACACACTGAGTTGCTTAGGGCCTCGCTGTTGCTGAGTCTGGATTTGAACCCACGATCCTTCTGCCTCAGCCTCCGGAGCTGCTGGATTACAGGGTGGGCCACTGCGCCCGGCTTCTGTGTTTTCTCACTTGTTGGATCCCCTGAAGGGTCAACTCTGTGAGGACAGGATCTCTGTCTTATTCCCACTGTGTCCCTTCTGCCTCTCCTGCTCCTGGCATGTGGTCAGTTGGTCCCTCAGTGTCCCTGGAGGACTGACTCCAGGACCCCTCTGCACTCCAGCCCAGCCGTTCCACCCCCAGCCTTGCCTTGGCTGCTCTTGCTATCTGGATGCCTGGTGCCTGCACCACTAGTCTTGTGTCCTTTAGGTCGCAGGCTGTCCCCTCTCCTGGGACCTTCGTTGGCCGCCACCATCCCGTGTCTGTCTTTCCTCCCAAGGGTCTGCCCAGTGCGAAGTGTTTGTGTCCTTTGTATGTGTGTTTTCCAGGGCTCTGTACCCAGAATGTAAGCCGCACGACATCAGGGCTGCTATGGTTTGGATGTGATGTGTCCCCCAGAAGCCCAGACGTGAGACCAGGCAGGAAGGTTGAGAGGCAAAGTGACCGGCTTATGAGGGCCTCAACCTAAATGGTGCACTGACCCCCAGAGAGTGATAGCTGTGGGCAGGTGGGTGTGGCTGGAGGAGGTGGGTCATGGGTGTGATCTGGGGGTATATGTCATCCTGGGTGACATCCTGCTTCCTTGTGGCCGTGTCCCAGCTGCCCTCCTCCGCCACCCTCTCCCACCATCCTCTCCCGCCATGATGTGAGCCTCACCTTGGGCCCAGAGCAATGGGATGGGCCATCCATGGACTGAGACCTCTGAAAATGTGATCCCCAAATAAACTTTTCCTCCTCCAATTTTTCTTGCCAGATCATTTGGTCACAGTGACAAAATAATTAAAAGCTGACTAACAAAGGGTGAACACAGTTGTGGTCACTGCTCCCCTCTGGTCTCCAGCCTGGTGCCCGTTTCAGGCTGTGGTCAGGAAGTCTACTAAAGAGTAGAAATGGATCAGGTGGGTGGACGGGTGGATGAGGGGTCCAGAGATCACAAAGAACATGACCCTGACAAATCACTCTGAGGGCAAAGGGCACAGGAGGGACAGGACTAAGAATGAGGAGAGTAGTGGTGGGGGCAGACACGTCTGGGAGGGAGCCCTGGACCTGCCACTCACATTGCCATGGACCTGGGGGGGGGGTCAGTGACAGAGCCCACTTCTCATGCTGTCATGGGATCATGTGGAACTCACATGTGCCAAGCACCTAGGAGAGGAGCTTGCACAAGCTGGTGGCTCCATAGACGGACTGGCTCCAAGACCCCTGGATGATTGGCAGGTGAATAGAGGGGTGATGGACAGGTGAACGCATTGGTGCATGACTGACTGGGTGGGTGACTGACTGGGTGGCTGGGTGGCTGGGTGGACACTGGCTGGGTGGTTGGACACAGGCCCAAAAGGTGAAAAAGCTGTGAGTCGTTATCTTAGAGGAAGACATGGGCTCCTCAGAAGCTCTTCCAGCAATGGTGCCGAGTGACTGACCAGGAACAGGCAGGAAAAAAAACAGGGAAGAATGAATCCAAGGGCCCGGGGTGCAGCTCAGCAGGTCCTAGGCCCTGGATCCCCTCCCAGCACCAGAGACAATGAAAACCAACATAGCGGAGGGGGGGTGCGCCCTCTGGGAAGGGCGTGGCCCAGCAGGCTCCCTGCCACGGCTCCCCATGGTCCTTGGGGTCAAGCTGAAGTTTCTCAGCATCATTTATGATCTGGTCTCCTCCGGGGCCTCCTGTGCTGTCGGCTGGCATCCCAGGACTCAGGGTGAACGGGTCCCGTGGTTGCCCTAAGTGCTTAGGGGGCTCACCGCGCTGCACTGCCATGCCTGCCCTTGGGAGCACACGACTGTGCTGTGAGCTAGGCACAGGAGCCTAGGTGACGGGTCCCCAGGAACACAGGCTGTGTGTGCGCCCCTCATAAATGATGTGTGCCAGGTATGGGAGGGGTCATTGCTCTGTGTGGCTCTCCGTGAAGTGTGCGCCTCTGGTCTCCACTACTCGGGCCCTTGCCTCCTGTCGATTTTGTGCCCTTTTACTGTGATATATCACCGCCTTGACTGAGACCCTGAGCGGAGTCCCTCGGGTCCTCTTGGTGAGTCATCAAACCTGGCCTGGTCTAGGACACCCTGACACATAGGTACTGCTTGGGACATATTTATCCTAAAAATCTGGCCATTGTTTCTCTGAAATTTGAATTTAACTAGGCATCTTTTTTTTTTTTAATTCTTTTTTAGTTGTAGATGGACCCAGTCTCTTTATTTATTTTTATGTGGTGCTGAGGATGGAACCCAGGGCCTCACGCATGTGAGGCAAGTGCTCTACCGCTGAGCCCCAGCCCAGCCCTATTATTTTTTTGTGCTAAATTTGGTGACACTACCACAAGGAGACTGGGGAGCGCCGGGGGGTGGGGGGGTTGTGGGGGGTGGGGGGTGTCGGGGTGTGGGGGGGTGGTGTACCTTCTTCCTTTTTCGCGTCCTCCTCCAATTCCATGCGGTCCTTCAGCTTGACATGCAGGAAGGACTTGAGCTTGCCCTCGTGGTTGTAGAAGGACTTGAGCTTGGCCTCGTGGTCGTAGAGCCGCTCCAGCTCCTGGATCTCCAGGTTGTACTCAGAGATGTCCTTCTGCTGGCGGTCCTTCATGGCAGCCATGCGGGCCATGGCCTGCATGCTGCGAGGATGCAGGGGCTGAGGTCCCCAGGCGCCTCACTCTCTTCCCTTCTCCCTGTGGCCCTGGGGGTTTCCTGTCTGGCCAGCAGCCACCAGGTCTCCTACTGACCAAGGACTTTAGGAGTGGAACAGCCTAACTTACTGGAACAACTGGAGCTGCAAGCTCTAGGCCATGCACAGGAAGTGTGTTTTCCCATTGTCATCTGTCTCATCATCACCCTCACTACCAGCACCACTGTCATTATCATAATCATCACCAGCATCATCACCATCACCACCATCATCACTGTCACAGCCATCACCACCATCACCATCACCACCATCATCAGTGTCACAGCCATCACCACCATCACCATCACCACCACCATTATCACCATCACCACCACAATTACCATTACCACCATCACCACCATCATCACATCACCAAATCTTCACCATCACCACCATCATTACCAAATCATCACCATTACCACCACCATCACCATCACCATCACCATCACCACCATCACCAGCACCATCACCACCATCACCAGCACCATCAACACCATAATTACCACATCACCATCAATATCACCACTATTACCATCATCACCATCACCACCACCATCACCACCATCATCACTGTCACAACCATCACCACCATCATTATCACCATCACCATCACCATCACCATCATCACTATCATCACCATCACCACATCACATATCATCACCATCACCACCATTCACCACCACCATCACCACCACAATTACCATATCACCATCAACATCACCACCATCACCATCAACACCATATCATCACCATCAACATCACCACCATCACCATCAACACCAAATCATCACCATCAACAATGTCACAACCATCACCACTCTCATCATCATCATCACCATCACCATCATCGCCATCACCATCATCACCATCAACATCATCATCATCAATATCACTACCGTCATCATCACAATCACCACATCACAATTCACATCACCACCTCCACCATCACCACATCATCATCAATATCACCACCGTCATCATCACCACCACCACTACCTGTCAGTCACCGTGACCCAAGTGCTCCTTCATCTTATTGACCCTCTTTCCCACCTAAAGAGATCCTATAACAATGTAAAGCGATGGAGCAAAGATTCAAGTTCAGATTCCTCTCACTCCAACACCTGCTCTCTCCACAGCCCAACTGCAGGCCACAGAGAGGCAATGGAGACAGTCCCTCAGGACCAAAGACAGGGGCTCCGGAGGGGACAGTATCGAATAGAGGTCTGCATATTAACTCCAGCACACCAGCCACTTACCTGGATTTCAGGTAAGTATTTTAGTGTCTCTAAGCCTCCTTGTCCTGGTCTGTAAAAGGGGGACCTAGGGCCGCTGTGAGGGCTAAAGTCACACACAGCCTCTGGCCTCAGCTGCAGAGTCATTGGGTTTATGGTCTAAGGTCCCCCAACACACCGCAGTGGGCACCTCCCCAGCACACCTCTGCTCATAGGCCTGAGAAGACTGCTCAATGGCCAAGTTCATGGTTTTCTTCTGCGACAACAGGCTCTGGCACAGCTGCTGGTAGATGTTGTCATAAGTGGCCTTCTCAAACCGCAGGTTCTCAATCTCCTGACGGAGCTTGGCATTGGTAGTCAGCATCTTATTAAAGTGCTCAGTGACCTGTTGGAAGAGCTGTGTTTCAAAACAGAGCTGCTCTCTGGGCTGTAAGACAAGCGTCCAGAAGGCAGATGGAAGGTGGGAAGGTCCCACACGCTGCCTCACATCCCAGGACACGGAACAACCATTGGGGAGCACTGGGTGACGGTGGAGTGGGCCACCAACTGGCTAAGTGGCCTTTGCTGGATTCTTTTCTCTGGATTTCAGATTCCTCAATGACTTTTAGACCTAATTTCCAGTTTGGGGTCATTACATGAGAGACAGGAACAAGTTAAATACCACCATCAGAAATAACTGGCCAAGCTGGCCATGGTGGCACATGCCTGAAATCCCGGTGACTCTGGAGGCAGGTGTAGGAGGATCGCAAGTTTGAGGCCAGACTCAGCAACTTAACAAGACTCTGGTGCTTACAGCTAGATGATTCTCTGTGGCAGGGGCTGGGCTGGGCTTCTTAGCATGTTAAATGTCACTACCACCCACCCCCAATCCAGCTGTGACAAGCTAAATTGTGTCCCTCAGAAGGCAATGTCCCTCTAGGGGCAAAATCATTCTTGATTAACAGCCACTGTTTTAAATTTAAAGAAATTTAAAAGACCTAACAATTGTATGAACCTTGCTTGAACCAACTTTTAAAAGACATTTTTTGGTTCAACTAGAGAAATTTTAGTAGGGATGGGGTATCGGGTCACGTGAAGGAAATACTCATTTTGTAAGATGTGATATTGGTATTGTGATCATGAAAGCAAATGTTTAATTGTAAGAGGTGAAACTGAAGAAATCAGGGCTAAAATGTCATGATACCTATAATTTACCTTAAAATACTCCAGGGTGAAAAAACGGTAAAGCCATTAAAGCAAATCGGTAATAATTATTAGATCAAAGTGATAGGTATGTGGGGGTTCATTATTTTATTCCCTCTAATTTTTTTTTGTACATAAATCTTCATAAATTTGTCTTAGTTTTTTTAAAGAGTTTTTTTTTTTAAGTGATGTGGGTTACACTATGGGAATATGGGTTGGTGCAGTCACTATGGGAAACTTTATGGAAGTTTCTAAAGAAATTAAAAGTAGAATGACCCTACAACCCTCTTCTGGTATGAGGCCAAAGGAAATGTGATTGGCAGCTGGGAGCAGGCAGCCTTGCTCACTGTAGCTGAGGCACAGCAACACCTAGTGTCCATGACGCGTGAACGGATCAAGGAACTTTCACACATGCATGCATGCACACACATACACACGATCAATATTCAGCCTTAAAAAAAAAAATCCTACCATTTGCCACAGTATAAGTGGATCTGGAGGACATTACGCTATGTGAAATAAGCCAATCACAGAGGGACAAATGCTGTGTGATCTCACGTGCAGGGTTGGCCACAGAACGGAAGTCACGTGACAGAGAGAAAGACAGTGGTTACAGGGAGGGGTGGGGAGCTTCAAGTCAGAGGAGGCGAGGGAGCAGACATGTCAGATGAACAAGTTAGAGTCACAATGTGAGGATGATGGGTAATAAAGTCCTACTGTGTTTGGAATCCCTGGGAAGTGAGTAGATTGTAGCTACTGTCACCACAAAAACACACACAACCATATGACATGATGGATATGTTAATTTCCTTTGCTACAGTCACCACTTTACTCTCCACATGTATTCCAGAACATCACCAACTCTGCCTTAAATATACATGATAAAGCTTATTTTTAAAAATAATTTTTTTAAGTTTTTTTTTTAAGGTGATGTGAGCCAGGCATGGTGATGCAGATCTCTAATCCCAGCGACCCTGGAGGCTGAGGCAGGAGGATTGCAAGTTTGAGGCCAGTGTCAGCAACTCAGTGAGGCCCCTAAGCAACAGTGAAACCCTGACTCGAAAAAAAATATTAAAAGGGTCAGAGTGAATTTCTCTCATAGACACGGAAAAAGAAACAACTACAAAAGAGATTCCTGACAGTAAGGGCTTTGCTCCCATCAGAGGTTTTCAAAGCACATTATGAGAGATATTAGGTTTCTGCAGGGTCAAGGCGGGCTTAATTGAGGTAGCCAGCCATGAAATTTAAGGGAGCTCTCGTGGTCAAGTGTCAACACAGCATCTCCCCAAGCCTGAGCGTGAGCACCTCCTTAAATTTTAAACCCTGGTCTCTTGGCAGGTTTCCCTGTGGGGGTCTCCAGCTGCCCCTCAGGGGAGAGGGGACCAGGGGACAGAGGTTCTTACTCTACACGAACTCGATTGTGCAATAAAAGATGTGACCTACTGGGGGGCTCTCAGGCTCTCTGGAGTAGCTGGAGGAGATTTCAGGGTCATGGGTATTCTGGGATCCGGAAGTCATCTTTAGAGATGGCCCCTAATCCACTCAAATGCATAGCCAGTCCTGTATCCCAAACTGGAAGAGGGGTCCAGTTTGGGATACAAAATCCTATCTCTCCGAGACATAAGAGGGGACCTCGCCACAGAGTGCCTGGGTAACGCCTGGTGGTCAGAGTTTGGGGGAAGATAAGAGTTTTGCACAGTGAGGCAAGGACCTGTCCCCCTCTGGATGCAGGAGCTGCTGGGCTGTGAAGTGTCCCCGCCCAGCCTTCCTCCCCTTCTCCTGATCCTCCAGGGGGAACCACCTCTCCTCACTCTGCTACCACACAGTTTAGACTGGGCTGTCCCGGCTCTCTGCTACCACTCTGGGGGAGAGAAAGCCAGCCAAGAAGAGTCACAGGCCTCAGGTCCCTGTATTCCATTCTTCTAACCACAGTGTTTGGCTCAAGGGTGGCCACATGATCCAAGCTGATCCAATGGGAACCCCCACACACACCCGGGACAGGCATATTAAACCCTTAGGAAAGAGATGCTCCCTTTCTGCTGGCATTTGAACATGTCTGGGCCTACCCAAGGATGACGTTTACCCAGGGGAGAGATGGACAGAGAATATGTCCAAAGGACATGTTTGGAGCACCTGCATCCAGCTATGCCTGAAGGCCCCACTTCTATCTCTTGAGTTTTTCAGTTCTTGGACCAACACTTTCCTTTTTGTCATTGTTCTTTGGGGTTTTTTTTGTTTGTTTTTTTGTTTAAAAGTCAGTTAGCAATTTAGAAAATCCTACTTAATACAAAAGTCATTGTGAAATGAGGATGATCATGAAAGGCCTAATAGCTAAGAGGATGACGTCGTTCAACAGCACAACAGCAAGTCACTGGCTATGACAAGAAGCAAGGTCTCACTGCCATGGTGGAGGAATCTAATTCTGCTTGCTGAAGAGGGTAGGCATCCCCAGGACGGTGGGGGCGGGGGTGGGGCGGGTGGAGGACAGCAGCACATGCTAAGGAAGATGGGACAGAGTGCAGAGAGAGTGAATGGCAAACTCTAGACTGCTTCCTTCTCTGTGTGCCCATCACTGGTCCACCATCTCCTGGGTCCACAGGGAAATGGGTGTGGTCTGCCAATGGTTCAGAGGACGTCCTTCTTCACCAAGAGCAAAGGGTGTGGGGGGAGAGGGGAGCACCCCACATACCCGATTCAGCCGGCTCTCCAAAATGTGTATCTGTTTCTGCAGTTTCTGTGGGTTGTTGGCCTTCTGCATTTTTGTGAAGATCTGTTTTTGGCTTGAGATTTTTTTTTCCATCTGAACAATCTGCAAAAAGAGAGACGGAGCGCGAGAGCAGGCAGCTGTGTTAGCATCTGTAGGGGTATAGATTCCACAGTGGGCTCGATGAAGAGGGCTAACGCAGAGACAGAAATACACTTTCTTGTCCTGTCAATTCTTCTCTTTTGGATGTCTGCTCAGTTCAGCTTAATCTGAGTTTTGGGTAAAATGAGGCAATTTAGAATGTGGGATCTCGGGCTGGGGCTGGGGCTCAGTGGAAGCGCACTTGCCTGGCATGTGTGAGGCACTGGGTTCGATTCTCAGCACCACATAAAAATAAAGGTCTGTCAACAACTAGAGTGTGGGATCTCACCTGTGCATGGAAATTCCACTCACCTGTGGGTATGAACTCTGCCTCTCTAAGCCATGGTCTCTAGCAGAAATGAGTGTACCCCAAGGGGCCATCTGGGACCTTGAGTAGGTGTTGTTTGGCTCTTGCAGAGCAAGGGTACTTTGGGCATTTAATGGGTTGGTCACAAAATGTCACACATGTCATGACATGTGAGACAGCATCAGGCATTCAAGATGTATCTCCCATCCCTTCCATCCCTTGGGACTTCCCAATGCCATCTGGACACTACAGAGATAAAAAAAAAATGCCTTTATTTCACTTATTTATTTTTATATGGTGCTGAGGATCGAACCCAGGGTCTCGTACATGTGAGGCGAGTACTCTACCACTGAGCCACAAACCCAGCCCCTCACACTGTGTTTTTGTTTTTTTTTTTTCTTTGTAAGAGTAAAAGGAGTACAATTTATTCAAGAACAGAGCTCTCGCAGGGTGAGAGCAAGTTGCCGGCAAACTATCTTTTCTATGTTAATACACTGTATTTTTCATTCAGTTCTAATAAACACTGACTGATCCAGGAACAAAGTGACTTTATAAATCAGAAGAAAGGGCTGGGGATGTGGTTTAAGTGGTAGCCCGCTGGCCTGGCATGCGTGAGGCACTGGGTTCAACCCTCAGCACCACATAAAAATCAATAAAGATACTGTGTCCACCTAAAACAAACAAACAAAAATTTTTAAATAAAATAAATCAAAAGAAAGCAGTTGGACTGAGGCCACAGCTCAGTGGCAGAGTGTTTGCATGTTGGAGACAATGGGTTAGATTTCAGCAAAAAAAAAAGAAAAAAAAAGTAGGGGGTGCAGGAGATGTAGCTCAGGTGGTAGAGTGCTTGCCTTGCATGCACAAGGCCCTGGGTTTAATCCCCTGTGCTACACACACAAAATAAATTGTTCTGGAACTTTACCAAGAGTTGATCACCATGAAAACAGCAGCCCTTGGCCAAATCCAGCCCATGTTTGTTCTTATTAATAAAGTTTTATTGGGACACATCCACAGCCATTCACTTACATATTGTTAAGGCTGCTGCCTTCAGGCTACTCAGGTGGAGTGAGGTTGTTTCAACAGAGACTGTAGCTTACAAAACTGAAGTATTGACTGTTTGGGCCTCTACAAAATGAGTTTCCTGGCCCTGTTCCCGATATACCCCACTAGAACATTCAAATATGGAAATAAATTTAATTGTAGTGTAAATAGCTTTTCTTTTATTTCTTCTTTACACTATAATTAGGGCATCACAATGATTTTAAAAGAGTAAGGAAGCGGAACTTCGTATCATCTGTGAATTGCAACAGGGTATTTATTGGTTGTTAAAAAGGGGTCTTGGCAAAGGATGTTGAATGAAAGGTGCCAGACATGGAGACATACTTTGATAGTGGCCATTTACATGCTGTTCTATACGCAGGCAGAACAAATCCATGATGCTGGGGATTAGGACAAGGGTTTCTTGGGGGTAGTTAGTGGAAGGGGACCAGCGGAGTTTTCTGGGCTCTGGAATTATCTCTGTCCTGACATTGGTGAGGGTTACAGGGATGTCTAGCTATGTGAAAATTCATCGAGTTGTACCCATAAGACACCTGACTTTAATTGTGTGTAATTAACTCAATGGAGGGACAGAAGGAGGGAAGCAGAAAGAAAGGAAAAGAAACAGGTATGGGAACAGCAGGTGTGAGACCCACTATCCTAAAGGGCTCTACAATGGCCTTTGGATTTTAATATATATATTTTAGTTATACATGGACACAATATCTTTGTTTGTTTACGTGCAGTGCTGAGAATTGAACCCAGTGCCTCACACATGCGAGGCAAGCACTCTGCCACTGAGCCCCACCCCAGCCCTATGAGGGCCTTTTATTTGAGAGTCCCCGCCCCCCCCCTTGAGAGTTCAGTATTCATAGATTCAGTCTCTGGCTGGAAACAGAGGCAAGGCCCTGGTTTTAGGAAGGTCAAGTTCCTTGGTGAAGCCAGAGAAAGCAGTTTCGGTGGAGGGGACGTTGCTCCAAACACTGGGAACAGAAGTGGAGACAGCCCCAGCCCTAGAAAGGGAAGCAGAGAAAGTAAAAAAATCTCCCTGAAACTTCTAGAAAGGGGGAATGTGGGCGGTCACCTGCAATCCCAGGAGGGTTACGTTTTGTGTTTTGCTTGGTTTTTAGTTTATTTGAAGGAGGGGAAGAGAGGAACCCCTTGGAGAAAGAGAGGTAGGTGGAGAGCTAGGGGGCAGTTGCTCTGAGGCAAGGTTTTTTGGAGACAGGGGCTAGGGAGACCTTGCTCCGGAGACCTGGCCCTGTAGACCAGGTCACCTCTTCCTCTGAAGCAAGCAGATATGGCCCAGGGTGGAGGGACGCAGGGGGAGGCACGGGGAAGGCCAGGCTGCCACAATCTTGACATCATCCACCTCTGTCCAGGGGACTTCTTGTTAAGCAAAAAAAGAAAAAGAAAAAAGAAAACCCAAATAACGTAAATGCCCTGTGTTGCCCCGAATGGAATCCTGGGAGTGAAAAAGGACATGAATGGAAACAGCAGTGAAATCCCAATAAATATGGTAGTCAGGTTCACAGTCATGTGCCAGGGTGAATTTCCTGGTCCTGATGAATGTCCTAAAGTAACCTAAGATGATCACTTTCTGGGCAGCAGCATGAAGGGCCTGTAGGAAGCCTCTGTGTTAGCTTTTTAACTAACAATTTTTAACTAATAATTCTGTGGATTTAGAATTATTCCAAAATACAAAGTTTACTTAAAAAAAAACAATAAATAAATAAATACCCCTTGACTGGAGCCCCTTGGTTAGGTATTATGTTACCTGCAGCCCAAAGCATGCCTAACAGACACACTGTCCACTTTCTCCAGTAGGACAATGAGCTGACTCTGATTTCAGATAAGTAAAATACACCCCATCTCAGCTGGCAGGGGAGAATTTTGATGTCTCTATCCTTCAGCCCCAGAGCCCTACAAATGACCCCCCCTCGGGGTCACTGTCCCTTAAACCTCACTTCCACCCTCTGTTAGACATGGGCACAGCCAGGTGCAGTGTGCTAGGTCTACACCCAGACAAAGATCCTCATTCTCCACCCACCTGTCAGCCCCACTAAGAAGGAGCAGCTTGACCAGAGTCCCAGGAGTCCCCAGGCTAGCCTGAAAATGTCCTCTGAAGAAAAGTGCCCTTCGAGACAGGCGAGGACCAGGTCCTAACTGTATCAGGGGCACTTTGTCTTCTGGGGTTTGGGCTGTGACTAAGAGGTGAGGCTTTCTGGGGAGAACCTGGTGTGTAAAGAAAGCAAGGAAATAAGGGGTCACCACCATTTAATCATCCCTTCAGAGTGAGAAGTTTGTCTAGAGGCAGCTGCTGGAATTCACCTTGGAGGATGGTCTGAAGCCCAGCTCCTGTTCTGGGTTTGAGGGGTCCTCGGTGAAGGAGGCTTTGGTGCCTCGGGGTGAGTGACAGAGCTTGTCACCCACACTTTAGTCTGCCTCTGGCTGGGGTCAGAGACCCCTGAGCCAAGATTAGGCTGCTGAATTCTGGAAGCAGTTGTGTCAGGGGTACTGTGTCAGCACCCCTGAGTTTCAATGCCCTTCATTTGTCCCCACACCTTCATGAAGTCTCTAGGGCACAGTCCCAGCTGTCACTTTGAGACACAGAAAGATAAATCTATTGCCTGCAGTCGAAAGCTATGGCCAGGTGAAATAGCAATGTGAGCCAACTAAAAGACAACACATCCTGGGTTTCAGGGGGGAAAAAAACAATAACACAGAGTAGTTGCATACCTGTAATCCCAGCCACTCAGGAGGCCGAGGCAGGAGGATCGAAAGTTAAAGGCCAGCCTCAGCAACTTAACCAAGCCCTAAGCAACTTAGACCCTGTCTCAAAATAAAAAGGGCTGGGGATGTAGTTCAGTGGTAGAGCAACTCTGGGTTCAGTCAGTCTCATCCCCCTCAAAATAAAACAGGCTGGCAGAGTGCTGAATTGTGCATCTGGAATACTTCCTCAAAGACCTGTGTGTTATAAGGCTTGTTCCCCCAGAGAGGTGCTATTAGGAGCTGTGCCACCTTTAAGAGGTGGGGCCTAGCGAGAGGTCTGCAGGTCAAGGGGGCGTGTCCTGAGGGGGCGTGTCCCTTCCTCTCCTTTTGCTCCCTGGCTCACCACCATGAAGTGCTGCCTCCACACCCTGACATCGCTGCTCTGAAGGGATGCTGCCCTCTTCATTCACCCTAGAGAATGACAAGCCAGTCTTAGAAGTGAGCCTGGGAGGGCAATCGGCTCAGCCCAAGGCTCCTGGCTCCTCCCAGCATCGCCAGAGCTGCTCCGGCCTTAGAGATACCAAAGGGGCCAGGATGGCGAACTTAATCAGGAGGAGCAGAGGCTGGTGGCTCTAGGGTGACCCTAGAGAATGACAAGCCAGTCTTGGAAGTGAGCCTGGGAGGGCAATGAGCGAGGTGCTCCCGGCAGGCTCAGTAGGGCCCTCTAGTGGGGAAAGATGAAATAGTGCCTGAGCTGGGACCTTAGATGAATAGGAGGTCACCAAGCACAGAGGATGGGAAGGGCACCTGGGCAGAGGAACCATCTGCAAAGGCCTGATGAGAAGGAGGGCACTGTGGACTCAAAGGACATGAGGACCGAACACCCAGGTGCGGGCAGGGGATGGGGAGGCAGGAGGGCCGCGGTGCAGCAAGGCCCAAGCCCACTAGAGCATTTGGCCTGACGGCAGAAGATCACTGTCTGAGGCAGAGAAAAGATGTAATGAGATCTTTTGGATTCATTCAACCAGTTAATATTTATTGAGAACTTGCCGTGTGCCAGACAGACAGGTGTGGGAGTGGGCATTACCACGGGGACAGAGAGGACATAGTCCTACCCTCATGGATCAGCCAGACTGATGAGACAGACATTAAGCCACCCTGTCTCAAGACAGAATGGCAACTGTGAAAAGAGCTTAGGAGGGAGGTGCCGTGGGTGCCTTTGAAGAGGGTAAGGGGCTGTGCAGCTTAAAATCTACTCCCTACCCTATTCCATGCCAGAGGCTGAGCTGCAAGGATCCAAGATGGCTCCCTGAGTAAGGATTGGAGGGTTAAACAGAGAGGAGTCAGGTCTTCCCTTCCTCAGGCTTGCTCCAGGTCCCACCCCACATGCCCCCTGTAGCTGTCCTGCAGACTCTCAATGTGCTCGCTCACACCCTTGAAAACAGCCCCGCCTAAACCCTGGCCCAATGCCTGCTACTGAGGGTGCTGCCTGCTCCCAGACAGCAGCCTAACCCGTAGAAGAAGATACACTGTACCCTGGAGAAAGGACACACAGAAGGCCTCCCAAGAGGACAATTGGGGTGGTGATGGGGGAGCATGTGCAAAGACCCTGAGGTGAGCCAGAAAGGTGGGCAGGGACTGGACCACTTCAATGCATAGTCAGGGACATGATCGTTAATGCCACCCAGTAAATCTTAACTCTTTGCCATGGGAGGGTGGCACTTCCTGGACACCTGTGTGGATGGGTAGAGTCACATGACTATCTTGAGCCAACAAGGCTCCAGGGCCAGTGTGAGGCCCTCCAGAACTCTCCTCTTCCCTGACGTAATACCTGGCAGTGTTCCAAATGGGTGCTGCCCGCCCCTGGCCACCCATGGTACATATGCAAGAGGCCTTCACTGTTTGAAGGCATGGAGCCTGGGGAAGGGTGGCTTTCGCCGCTGCAGCCTGACCCCACTGCCCCTGGTTGATGCCCCAAGGACGGGATTGTGGTGCCCTGGGATTAAGCCCAGAAACTAGGAGCCCCGAGGACACAAGGGTGGCAGCATTTAGGGGAAGTCAGGAGAAGGACAAAGAGTCAGTCTGCCTAAGGCATCCTGGGAATGCCCCCTCCCCTCCTGCTCTGGGTGACCTTTGAGTCGCACCTTCTCATCCAGCTCCACCAGCAACTCTTTCATGGACTTAATCATGGCCTCGTAGTCTTCCTTGGCCTGCAACAGGAAACGCAGCTCAAGGTAGTTTTTCTGATCCAGATCCAAGTTCTTCGAGGACTTCAGGAGACTCAAAACCAGAGTGATCTCATTCTGCTCTGCTTGCAGGGCCTGGATTTCCTTGCTGTTGGGAAAGCAGCCTGCGGTTAACCTGGAACCTCAGGAATTACCTTCAAGGAACATTCTAGACACTGTAGCTTGGGAGATATGTTTCCCACCTGGGTGGCCAAAGTCTCCCCTCCAGGTCTAGAGCCCTGATTGCCTGAGATCCAGTTTCTCTCCTTGGAGGGCTAGTGATTGACTAAGCTGACATGGTCTCTTCCTCTCCTTTCCTCTGTCTATGCTGAAGGAGGGCTGGAGCGGGGATGCAACTCAACAATGGGAAACCACACCAAGGCCGGGTTTTTGTGTTTTGCAGAACTACTGCCTCAATGTCTTTTGAGAGCCTGGGGAAATGCAGAATCTCAGGTCCCAACCTGGGACCTAGTGGATCAGATGCTCCTTGAGTGTTCTGCAGGCACATAGAAGTGTTGGAAGCAGGGCTCAGAATGCTAAAGAATGTTCTAGGGAAAGGCTTGGCAAACCTCATTCTATAAAAGGCCAAAGAGTGAATATTTTAGGCTTTGGGAGCCACGGGTCTCTCTTGAAAGCTCTGAATCCTCCCTACAGTGTAAAAGTGGCCATAGGCAATGCATAATCTAATAGGTATGGCTGTGTGCCAATAAAACTTTATTTACAGAGAGAGGCAGCCATCCAGATCTGAACCCTGGGCCATGGCCTGCCAACCACTGTCCTGTAGGACATTCTTTAAGGATAGGAATGTCCTCTATCTGCACCATCCAGGAACACCCATGAAGGCACATGTGGCCAGTGCACATGGGAAATGTGACTCCAGCAACCAAAGAACTCTGTTTTCGATTCTTTTAATCAGTTGCAACTTCAATAGCCACACATAGCTGGTGACCAGAGGACCTAGTCTTCTCAGCTTGCAACTGGACTTTCTCCCCTTCTTCATCCCCTCCTGGAAGGGGGTCTTCGTTAAGGTGGAGAGAAAAGAAAGACCTCTCCACCTGAATCAAGCGTTTGGTACGGTGGTTAAAGCTAAAGGAAGGGGGCTGGGGATATGGCTCAAGCGGTAGCACGCTCGCCTGGCATGCGTGCAGCCCGGGTTCGATCCTCAGCACCACATACAAACAAAGATGTTGTGTCTGCTGAAAACTAAAAAATAAATATTGAAAAATTCTCTCTCTCTCCCCCCCTCTCTCTTAAAAAAAAAAAAAAAGAGCTGGTTTCCAGTCTTACTTATAAAAAAAAAAAAGCTAAAGGAAGCTTTGTCGACAGTGCTCAGACTGGGTAAGAGAGTGAGGTGCCCCTAGATTTTAAAAGCGCTCCCTCTCAGGGTGGTTTAAGTGAGGGGTGGGCATTGGAAAGAGTGCCTGAGGGCCCTGCCCTTAGTCTGGCTCTATTTATAGGTGCTAACTGTAAAGAAACTAGACTCCCCACTCCTCCACCCCTCCCTTCAGTTCTACCAAAGTGAAACCAGATCAAATGGGGCGAAGTAGCCACGCCAGGAAGGAAGCATCTCTTGATGCCCACCAGGCGTCCACTGGGAGTCAGATGGCCAGGCACAGATGTGCAGGTTGTGGGCAGCACCACCCTGGAGAATGCCCACAAAGCATCACAGATGTGTTGATTACACTTTTCTAGGAGACACTTTTTCTTGTTCTAATAAAATCCCTATGTAATGACCATTTTTCCAACAGATGGCAGTAAAGTGTCTTGGGAAAGGATGCCTTTGAAAAATTCACCGAAATGTCCCATGTGGACCAGCCCCGGCCCTGATTTAAGTGAATCCAAGGGAAATCTAAGGAACCGTTTTCTCCATCCTTTGAACTTCACGCATCATCCAACAGTGAGATTTTCTAACAGTGAGCTTTCTGTAAACACTACGGATGTAGCTAAGGCATTAGATTCCCGCGGAGGCAATCTCAGAATTCCTGCTTCTGTTTGTTTATTCAACTCTAGGGAACACCTTTCTGTTGCCCAAAGAAATACACACACCGTTGTTTCTAGGGCAACCTAGTTTCATATATTCTATCGTGAAGTTCCCCTAAGGACACACAAATAGGGAAGGCCAAGGGTTTGCACAGCGCAAAGAACTCCAGGCGGGGCCCAGGGCAGGGATAGCCACGCCCACTTCTCTTCCCACGGCCCCTCCCCACTCAGCTGATTGGGCCAGGAGTAGACACCTGACCCAAGCGGAGCCAATCACACTTCCCCTCTCTCGTGGGCCTTTGGGACGGATTCCAGACTGTGGCCCTGGGTCACTGGCAAACTCAAGAGTTGGGGACAATCATTTTCTTCCAGCCAAGGATGAAATTCGGAGAGAGGACAGGAAAGAGAGACAGAGGCACCAGAAAGCCTCCTCTCGGGCCTTCCCTGAGGGTGGGCGCCCTGCTCCCCGGGGTCCCCGCGGCGCCCTGGACGCTGACAACACCCGCTTCCTGCTGAGGCCGCGTCCAGCGGGTTTCCCCTGGAAGTGGAGCCTTTCGACGAAGGTCTGGGTTCAGGAGAAGGTGAGCCCGCGAAGCCCAACCCCGCTGCCCTCCAAGGTCACTCACTGCTGGCTGGAGAGCTTCAGCTGGCTGCGGAAGTTGAAGGACTTGCGACTTTCCACCATTTTTCGGAACTGCAGCCTCAGCTGCCGAAGCTCGGCCTCCGCCAGCTGCTCCTTGGTCTTCTCGGAAAGTTCCGGAGGAGTTACCGAGGTTTTTCTCCTGTGCTTCTTCAACTGGTTGAGATGGTGCGGAGAGTAAGGGGTGAGGTGACCAGAAATGCCCGCACTGGGGCTCAAGGGAGGATGGCTGCCTGCACAGGGCTGGCCATGGCTGCCCACCCAGGACGAGGTGAATGCTCGTCTGCTACATGGAAAACCGGCCCTGGGTTGCCAGGATGGCAAGATGGCTCCTGTCAACACTGTGTACTCAAGAGGTTCCTTGCTATGTTGGGAAGAGGGTATTCTTGGGGGCCCTGGGTTCAAGTCCTAGCTCTGCCACCTTTTGTGACCTTGGGAGAAAGTCACTGGCTGTCTCTGAGCTTCCAGGCTCCCATCTAAAAAACGACAAAGAGCTAATACTTGTGAAGTGAGTGTACAGCAGAGTGCCCAACTGTCCCCAGGAGCTGCGGTTACCTACCACCGGCATCTTGAAGGAATTGAGCTTTTCCTCTGCTCAGACACTGGACCCACGGAGGTCAAACCCAGTGAGCACACCTCTTTGTCTCAGCAGTGTCCTGTTCACAGTGATAAAAGGAAGAGAACTTGTGAGCCACCCTGCTGGCGGTGCAGGACCAAGTGACACCTCCTCCCTTCCCCACTCTCCACAGTCCCGTCCCCCGCCCACAGCTTGGCACGTGAGAAGGAGGCAGATGGCTGCCCGGTTGTGAGAAGAGCCCCCCCTTTAAAGCAATGTTTGCCCGGAACTTGTTCCATTCAGAATGTATTATTAGGAGCTGGGCAGATGGTTCTGGCATGTCACTTACCCTTCTGCTCCTTGTGTTCCTAAAGAAAAGGGGGCAAAGTAGCACTGGGGTGGTGTGTCCCCTTATGGGGTCAAAACAAAATGTGCCCCAGCTACAACTGTGGGTGGACCCCCACCCCTTTAGAGCAGGAGCCAGTGGCACTGAGTGACATATTTATCAGGTCATCACTTGAACCTCACCTGGCCTACTCAGAGGAGGGGGCAACACTGACTCTCTAAGCCCTATGGGCTGTGAGACTCTCTGAGTCCCCAATTCCAGAATCAGGAGCTAGGTTCCTAAAGCAGAAATTCTAGTTTTTCCTCCCATAGAGGAGGGGTTCGAAATGTAGGGGATTAAAAAAGCACTGGTTGTGTGGTTCACCAGATCTCAGCTGAAATTCCTCCACAACCACTAATGAGCTTTGGGCAAGTCCTTTCAGTTCTGCAGAGCTTCTGTTTCATCATCTGCATAATGGGGAAAATTCTAGAAGCCACCTTGCAGGCCATTATGTGTAAGGCACTGTTCCTGGCACATAATACGTGTTCAGTAAATGGATTGTTCCATATGGTGAAGTGTGGTGGTGATTGTCTCCTGGGGTTTGCAGGGTTCAGCATTCCCTGTCTCCTGGTGAGGCCCTGAATTGCCTGTGAAAAGCCACACCCTCCCTCTCCCCTGTTCCTCAGGGGATCATTGCTTCCCACCAGTTTTAGGATTGGAACTATGACTCTATATTGACCAATCAGAATGCCAGATCCCTGCCCAATCTGCATAAGCCTAGCCATCTGGCCTAGTATTGGCTCAAGGGTGGTCAGGCGACTCCTGCTCCGCTAAGCAGAGTGTGTAGTGGAATTGAAGCTGGAACACTCAGAAGGGAGAGACTTGGCTTCTTCCCATACCTGAGCCTAGGAGAATGAGGTTAGGGATGACTGAGAGCCATCTTGCCTCTGCTGGGACATGAGAATAAAGCTAATATGGAAAGAGACTGAATCTTGAAAACATCATTTAAGCCTCTGGATTTAGCCAAGCCTGAAGATGCCTCTGGGTTATGTCAATTACATGAATCAATGTTTTCCATTAAAGCAATCTGAGTTTTCTATCATTTGCCTCTGAGTGGTGAATCAGCCTTCAGGATGCTGTGGATAGGGGCTGGGGTTGTGGCTCAGTGGTAGAGCACTTGCCTAGCATTTGTGAGCACTGGGTTCGAGTCTCAGCACCTCATGTGAATAAATAAAGGGCCATCAACAACTAAAAAAAAAAATTAAAAAAAAAAGATGTTGTGGATAGGCTGGCGCGGTGGCACATGCCTGTAATCCCAGCCACTCAGGAGACTGAGGCAGGAGGATCACAAGTTTAAAGGCAACCGTGAGGCCCTGTCTCAAAATAAAAAATAAAAAGGTCTGGGAATGTGGCTCAGTGGCTAGGCAGCCCTGGGTTCAATTCCTGGTACCTAAATAAATAAATGATAAAAATAGAAAAAAAATAATTCTGTGAATGAAGCCCAGGATGAAGTAGAGGAAAGTCTCAACAGGGGAGAGGATTTTTAATTTGGATTTAGAAGAACGGACAGGAGCTCACCCAAGCAGAGAGGAAAAGTGCAGAGGGAATTCTGGGCCTAGAGAGCAGCCCAGGCAAAGGTGGAGATACAAGCGAATAAAAGGAGTGTTCAGAAGATGATCGATTCGGGAGTACAGATGGCCATAGAAGATGATCGATTCGGGAGTACAGATGGCCACAGCCAGTGGGGAGTGACAGGGTGACAGGCAAAAGATCAACCTGGAAACCCACTGTTCCTGGATGGCTGAACAGCCACCTCCCTGTCACTCAGAGTGGCCACCTGAGGTGGCTTCCAGCTACAGCTTATACTTTCCAGCTACTTGTACATCCAGGCACAGACATGTGATGAATTCTCACCAATGGGATGGAAGCAGTCAACTCCTGGACCATAACATAAAGAAATGCATGTGATTCTTCCATTCTCTCTTCCCCAATAGGAGTTTATGGGAGACTGAGCCACAAGACAGATTCCCAAATCAAATTATGGAAGAAGTCACCTGCCAACCATGAACACCCTCATTGGACTTCATTTGAATGAGAAAATAACTTCTGTGCACCATGCCAATGAAATGTGAAGATTCATTTGTTACAGCAGCTGGAATGACTTAAGCTAGCTAGAGTTAATATCTTTCTTCCTAACATAACTTTAATGTTGCCCCCCCTCCTCAGTGTATCAGAGGATGAACTGTGATTGGTTTCCAGTAATCATGGTAACTCCACCTCTCTTTATCAATGATTGGTTTAAAGATGGGCATGTGACCCAGCTCTGGCCAATGAGACATAAAGAGAAGTCTATTCCTATTCCTTTGTGACAAAACGGAACTTTGTCCGTGTTTCCCTCTCTTTCTTCTTTTTGGAAATTAGGGGGAAGGCACGATGCTCGGTGATCTGGCAACCATGCAATGACCATGAGAAGAAATATCATTGTAACGCTGAGGAGCACAAAGAAAATCTTGGTTCTTATTAACAAGCTTTGCTATTGCCCCTTGTTGGAACTGCCTCCAGGCTGCTTGTTAAGTAAAATAATAAGTGTCACTATTGTGAAGGCACCCTCATTGCGTAACTTGTTCATTACAGCCTAAAGCATTCCTAACTTACATGATCAGCTGCCTTGAAAATGACTTTCAGTCTGATAGGTAATGGGACAGAAGTGGATGGCAATGCAGGTTCTAGAAGGCTTGGGAGCTAACTGAATTTTGGTAATCATCATTAAAGGAAAATATCTAATGTGGGGACATTCCCACAGGCAGGAAGGCAAGGTAAGGGCAATGGCTCCGTGTCTCTACTGCCTCTGGTTGAGCCCTGGAAGGGGGCGCAAGCTGCAGCCGGATTTCCCTCACTGATAAGGTTTGGACAAAGGAAACCTTTCTTTCTAATGGGACCCCTTTCAACTCTGGGATTCTGTGCAGCTCAATTTCACCTTGTCCAGGGGCTCTCCTACATCCCAGGGCTCTTTGGATCCTAAGTGGTTCTGGGATGCACTGGTTGCAGAGCGGGACTGGGTGCACCTGCCTTTCACCGGCAGTGTGCTTTTGCCTCACTGGGCTCAGTTTCCTCATCTGTAGATGGGAGTACCCACACCCACGTGGGGTAGTGTTGAAGCCCTTAGCACAAGCCTGCTCACATGATGGATGAATGGTGCTTGTCTGACAGGATTATCCAGTGCCTGTTCCTGAGATCACTGGCTGTGCTGGGTATTATTCCCTGGGAGCTAGAGCTCTCTTTGTTGAGACACACATGCATACCCAGAGCCAGGCTCCTCCAGACTACTGGCTTCTCTTCAGCTTCCAGAGGCCAGCACAATCCTCCCCTTCTGAAGATAGGATTGCTCTCTGGGGATAGGTCCTCCCTCAGCCTCATAGCTGGGCCTTTGGAGGATGCCCCAGGTGTCCTGGTCCCTGTCTTACCACCCTCTCATTCAGAGTTCTCAAACTCACAGTTCAAGAATCTAATCCAACCAGCCTTCAAGAGTTTCAGAACATGAATGGGCGGCGCCTTCTCTCCTGGCCACAAGCCCCACTCTGCGCTGCTGCCTAAATGTGCCCTGCACTTCCCACAAGTCCTGTAATTGCTATTCCTGGGAGGAACCAAAGCCGGCCCACTTCTGGGGAGCAGAAAGTGCCAAGAAGTCAGAGCCTGGTCAGGCCACATCAGGCCATAGTCCCCTGGCGAGCACCTGGTGAGCTCTTGGCAAATACCAGGTTTGAATGGATGGCATTCCCTCCAGGCTAGCTGAGGAAGGGTAGGCCGGCCCCTCCTCTGCTTCCCAATTCTAACAATCTGACTTTAAAGGATAAGCCAGGCCTGTGGAGGGTCCTGCAGGGACCCTGTCAGGCTCCTGTGTGGATTAGACTGAGCCCCGGCTGCGCAACTCAGGAATTGAACCTGCACCTTGGGGACCAGCTAAACCGGGGTGCAGAAAAACACACCATTAAAATAATAATAATGAGGATCGTTATGGAAGGAAAATGGAAATGCGTCGGACGTTTTAGGAGTTCTTTACACACTGCAATTTACCTAAGTCTGCTGGGGAACAGGCAGCTTTCCAGGCTCAGGGCCCCTAGGTCCGCACCGGTGGCGGGCGGCCGCAGTGCTGCTTTCGCCCGGCAGGCGGCGCTGCGGCGCGGCGGGGCGGGGCACTCACCGGCCGCGGGTCCCGCGACGCGAGCGCTTGCTGCACAGCGGCGCTGCGCCACCCGGCCCGGCCCGGAGCGCGGGCGCCTCGGCCCAGAGCGCGCGCCCTTGTGACGCGCACAGTCGGCATTCTGCCTGGAAGGCGCTGCGGGGCGCGCCCCCCGGCCCGACCTGCAGCTGCAGCGAGAGAGAGGGACCGGGGACACGCTCCTCCGCGACCTGCGGCGACCCCTTGCCAGGCGAGTAACGCCCAGACGGGCCCTCCTGGCCCGGAGTGTCCTCGTGCAACCACCAGCGCTCTTCTCAGTCCTAGGCCACTCTTACTGAGGATCCCGGTCCCCGGCCACGCGACTCTCCATTCGCGGTCTTCTTATCCGCGCGCTCTCAGCGACCCTGCCAGGTACCAACTTCACGCGCAGTTAACCTAGCCCTGATCCCGCTACTCTGCAAGAAAATTAAAAATCGATTGTAAAGAAAGAACTTCACCAGTGATTGGGAGTCTGCCGGTTGTTTTCCTTTGGGACCACTCCTCTCCTGCCCCTTGTGACCATGACACAGGAAACCCCGGTCAAGGGTGAGTCAAGGTCAAGGGCGACTAATCCTGAGCATTTCACTGTGCTAGCAGTTTGAAAGTTTAAAGATGAACGCTTTTCATACAATTGGCCCCAAAACACTTCCTCTGGGGCTAAATTCAATAATGACAGCGCTGCCAGGTATTAATGGAGGGTCCCGGTTTCCTAGGGCACTTTTGGGTCTGTGTGACTTCCACTTCACCTACCAGCCCCCTGAGTGAATTGTAGCTGGGCCATACTAAGGGTTTCCACTCTCTTGTCCCTAAACTCCTAGGACAGGATGCATTTTGGTTTCAGAAACGTCATACAGCACACATCAGGTGACCCTGATGTTGCTGGCAGCCATGTTGTTACCATGAGGGATGTTAGTGTGACAGTGTGGGTATAGGGTTTTGGATCAAGCACACAAATGATTCTGCAAGGAGACCTATGAATACTTACACCAAGTGGGATAAATAAAGATCACCAACAGCCCTCTGTCAGGCTTTGCCTCTAAATGAGGATACAAGGTGTCATGGACACATGTTACCATCATTTTATAAATGAGAAGACTGAAGCTTGGAGAAAACAGCATGGCAGTTAGTGGAGCAGCAGGATTTTTTTTTTTTTTTTTAATTTCTTAGTTCTTGGCGGACACAACATCTTTGTTGGTATGTGGTGCTGAGGATCGAACCCCGGCCGCATGCAGGCTAGACGAGCGCGCTACCGCCTGAGCCACATTCCCGGCCCGAGCAGCAGGATTTGAACCCAGGGTCGCCTATCTCTAAAGCCCCTTGCTTTACTCACCACCACGCTGGGTGAGCTGCAGCCCCCAGGTGAGCGGCCCTCTGAGGGCTGGTCTCTGCCGTCTCTGGTGCATGCAGAGCAGCTCCGACCCCCGTTGCCTGCGTGTGATGCACGTATTTCAAGTGTCAACGCCTGAAAGATGATGAAGTTCAGTTAGGTTCAGGAACTGTTAAAAATAGGCCTTCCTCAGAGGAATTCACGCTCCGTGACTTCATGGGTTCAGATCTCAGCCCCCCTGCGGGGGAGAGTACAAGGCTTTTTAAATGAGAACATGCCAGAATCCATTCTGCCAAAGGGATCTTTAGCTCCATCAGCGGGGCCTGGAGCAGAATGAGATGCCAGCTTGCCAGAGCGGTGCGCCAATGGCGAGAAACGTTGGCAAGAGCAGAAGCCTCAGAATGGAAGGGAAATTAGCCAGGCTGCAGAGGGCCAGGCAGAGGCATCTGGGCGCAGACCAGGAAACCGACGCCTCTCTGGCTACCAGGACCAGGAACCCACGCAGAACAACTCGAGATGATGCTTTCAATCTCCCCAGCCCCTCTTCTCCCTTCTTCCTTTCCTAGCACACTCGGATTGGTTCAGGTCACTGTCCCCCTCCC